CTTATTAAATTTAATTGATGTCTTACTGTATAATTTTTAGCGTTTTCTGTCTGGACTCCAAAATGTTGTGTGGACTCAATTCTGTATTGTGTGTGTATGTCTATTGGTAATGCATTAATGTCCTTATCTTTCGTGGAAAAGACAAGAGCACCATTGTTAATAAAAATTTCAACCCGAATGAAGTGTGCAGTAGTGAGATTGAGATAGTGTTTTAACTACTTTTAACCAGTGTGAAAAGTAACTTTCAATTACAGGCCTACCTTAGGGCTATGCCTCATAGATCTATACTGTAAAGCTATTCCCTTCATAGATATAAAATATGGAATAACACGATCGGGTGACATTTAATTGCAAAGCATTCGTTTTGGCTTTGCAACTGTCAGATATTGTATTTGAGAAGGTTTATATGTATTCCTAAAAAGTTATAGTTTTGCCATTATATCTGGAAAAATGCATACTAAACATGCAAACAAACTCCTGTTCTGAATAAGGTTTTAACTTACTACAAGATTCCCGTACGTAGAACGGGCAAACAGCTAGTATTGCTTACTATGATTTGATGATAAATCACAATCAGCTGTATTTGAAGTAAACAAAAATCAGCAGTAAATACCTTCTAATGCTATTCTTATGGAAAACATTTTACGTTTTATCTAATTTTGTGTTAAAATTGAGGGATTTTCACTATTTTTCCCGCCGTCACGGGGTTGAGACCTTTAATTTGAGACCCCTCCCGTCATTCTACGACTTCCCAGTCGCTCACAATTTTGACGCAAAGAATCGGCTTACGTAATTAATAATATATAGATAGACTAGCTGTACCCGCGGGCTTTGCCCCGTTTAACTTTATAAGTGAGCTCGTTCGCATGTCTCAATCACGTCCTGGTTGAAGTTCGTTCGCTACGCTCACTCACGTCCTGGTTGAAGTTCGTTCGCTACGCTCACTCACTTTTAGGTTGGAGCTCGTTCGCTGCGCTCACTTGCCTTCATGTTAGCTCGTTCGCTACGCTAACTCGCCTCCAGGTTGAAGTTCGTTCGCTACGCTCACTCACCTTTTGGTTGTAAATTAGCTGTTGTCATAAATGTAAAAGAAATAATAGTGCTGCACCCTGTTGGTAATCCTTGTAACTTTAGTGCTTTTGAACATCATAGAACAGAACCAACTTGTTTAATTGAAACAGCTGTTAAGATTCATTAATCTTATTTAAATATGAGTACTCATAAGGTTAACATGGGAAACTCCAGAGCCACTGGGGCGGAGCCCGAGAGTCCGATCAGAATAAAAACAGCTTAGTTTTCCTATTTAATGCCTAAAGAATCGGTGTACCAAATTTCAGACTCCTAGGTAAATGGGAAGTAAGAGAATTAATGATGAGTGAGTGAGTGAGTGAGTGAGTGAGTGAGTCAGTGAGGGCTTTGCCTTTTACATATATAGATAGATAGAAGATCGATAGATATTAGTTACTATTCTCTGTAATCAGCTGATGTATTTCTTTACGTCTTGGTTATATTAGAGGTTTGATTACCTTTCCAACTATATAAGGATTTAACTTTATTATAGCCTTATTTTCTAAAATGGTTTAGTTATTCAAAACAAATTGATTAAACTCAATTTATTAAAATAATAAAAATAAAAATATCAATTCTCTTTAAACCAGACAGGTTAGATGTAAATCCTGAGAACCCTTTAGCAAGTAGATCACTCAAACACTGGTTCAGGACGCTTAAAAAGTTCATATCTGACTCAGAAGTTGCTGAAGAGAGAAAACTTAACGTGTTGTTAATTGTCTTTCTTATGATAGCTACGAATACATTATGCAGGGCCAGGGGCAAAAAGGATCAGAGTCCATTTTTGTAGATATTTTTAATGCCGTTTTGTAGACAGAGTTTAGTAGAATACAACCCTATTTACATTTAGTGGAAATAGGGATTAAATAATTCATCAAATAAACGTTGTAAATGTGAAGAAAGATCATAGTCTTATGTGTCATTGGGAAGAAAGCTCTGAGTCCAAAAATGGGTGGTGGGGGTAATAGGGATTTCTTGCTTTCTGTAATGTTTAAATGTTTTACTTGTTTGCAAATTATGCAGGAATAATAGTTCGTGTAAAAAAAAAACATTATTACTCTAGTGAACTTTGTCGTTTTTAGTGCAATAGATTCAGATGAGATTTATGGTGATCCTAGTATTGATGACCAAGAAATTCGTTCTAAAACGTTGAGGAAAAACAAAACGATTTAAAAACTATTTAAAGGTTTTAAGATCATAATGAAGGGGACGACGTTTTAACAGAGAGTTTATGGAAATTGATAGTTATGATAAGCGAAATTATTATTAAATTGGCCAGTTAAAAGACACAGGGATAGGAAATTGGACAACCATACGAACATCAATTTATTGTTCTTATTCTCCTAGAGTCAGTCTAAATGTTGATGGGATTCTACAGAGTGTGCCAGTTTTTTACAAGGCATTTATGGGTTTACATAGGATATTGGGCAAGAGAGTCCAGACAATAAGGGAATCTTAGCACTTTTAGGTAAGGTGTCAAGTGATGGGTAAGGGAAAGGTGAATTTTTGCCAAGTTCAAAGTTAGCCCTGAAATAAAAACCACTGTACATGACCTTATAAAGGCCTTAAGAGAAGAAAATCTCCCTACTCACTAAATTATACTAATTAAATCTTTCGTTTCGAGGTGATTGTATTACTAAATTGATGTAAGACGATTTTTTTTTAAACGGACTATGATATTTTTTCGTCTATTTCTATATGTTCCACGTTTGAGTCAGCAGTTTAAATTTTGCAAACTATTTACAATCCTGAGAAAAATGACATTTATACTCGACAAACTGCAAGCATAAGAAAACAGACAGTTATCTACAAGAGCTTAAACTTCTATGTAAGGACTACAATTGTTATGCCATTGATGGAAATACTTATCGAGACTAAGTCGTGAAGTCACATATTGCAACACTTCATCAACATGACCAGACCAACTGGGTGAAAATGTAGATCCTGAAGTCAGCTTCTGTAGCAAAAAACTTGAAACAGAAGTGTTTCTTCTGCCGTGGATGGCTTTATTTTACTCGAAAAAACTCCTGCCAATGATACTACTTGCTCTGGTTGTAAGAAAAAGGGACATTTTGTGAAGGTATGTGGGTTGATGAAAGCTCAAGGCAAGACCTTCAACGCCTCTTCTTTGCTAGTATCTACTCTTTCATGTGCAGCTTAGACTGCCAAAAGCGGTTAGTTGTGTGGGGTTATATGAATAAAATACCTGTTGAAGTTTTGGTTGATACGGGGAGTACCGATAGTTTTATAAACAGAGCTGATCTTATGGCAAATGATTTTTATGTAATTCCAGAAGAGAAACAGGCATCTATGCCTTCAACAACCCAAAGTCACCGATAATAGGTTATGTTTCTGTGAACTTAGAATGTTCTGACCATAATTATAAGTGAGTAAAACTGTTTGTTATCGACAATCTGTGCACTGACATATTGGTCGGACATGATTTAATGGAGTTGCATTCTTCAGTAAACCTAGATTTTGGAGGAGATCAGTTACCTCTGTCCAATTTGTAATGTTGCTTGTGCTTCTGTTGAACCACCATGCCTTTTTCATAATCTATCACCTGATTACAAGCCTATTGCAGCTCAGTCTCGCAGGTATTCTAATGATAATGATCAGTTCATCAATTCTGAAGTACAAAATATCCTTAAAAGTGGTATAATTGAAGAAAGTTCATCTTCCTGGCATGCACAAGTGTTTGTTGCCAAAGGTTCATCTCGTAAAAAGCGATTAGTAATATATTATAGTCAAACTATAAATAAATTCATATTAGCTGCCTACCTCATGCCTAGTATTGAAAACATAGCTAGTAATATAGCGGAAAATAAAGTATTTAATACTATAGATTTTAAAGAATCTTACCATCAAATACCAATATTGGAACATTGAAAAGCAGTAGAAAAACTTTGTCAATTCTGTAGGGTTCCACCTTCTTGAGAGAGGAATAGCCATAGATTGTGAAAAACAATCTTGATGGTTCTGAAGCCCAGATCATTAAAGGTGGAACAACAGTACGCCACATGAAAGGTTTTTCATCCCCCCTCGGTGATCCCTTCATGGACCCTCACTGCCAGCTTGGCTCATGAAACAAAGACCGAACTTCTTAAAAAAAAACGTCCCGCAATACAGATTTGATCATTTAGTTGAGGAAGTAGAGCTGATGGATGCTAACTCTCATTATACCTTGGTAGAATACAATCATGGAAGAAAAACTACTGTATCCCTCAAGCACCTATATCCAAGGGAAGATATAACTCTACTAGAAAACCAAGGGCTCCCAACGCTAAAAGATTATTCTCAATCGGTGAGAGATGGATCACAACCAAATGTCATTCTAGAGCCTAACATCAATCTAGAACCGAATGTCAATCCAGTATTGAATGTCACTCCAGAACTTGATATCCAATACCATGATGATTATCAACCGGACCTCGTTCCCGACCGTGACTTTGAAGAAAACCAACCTCTAGAAAGGCCGAATAGATCAAGAAAATCTCAATAGAAATTATAGAATAGAAAGTAACCTCGATGATTACACTGTTTAACGGTTGGGATGTTTTGGACTACTGTTCATTTATTTTATTTATTAAACAGTTTTGTACTTCTTGTTTGTCTTATAGATTCGTTTACCTTTCCAGCTATGTAAGAATTTAAAAAAGGTTCATATATAAGTTATTCACAACATGTTATTAATTAATATAAAAAAAATCATTTTTATGTTATATAATTTTTATTTTGTTCATAATAATAAAATTGTTTATAAAAAGTTTATGTCATGCTTATCATGCGATATTTTTTAACATAACTGACGGGTTTTAATAGGTGTCTTTACCGAAAAATACACATAAAATTCTAACATCGGTAAAAACTAAAACACAATTAATTTTTCTATCTGACATGTAAGCATTTAAGTGAGTGGCATTGACGCCAGACACACCACAAGTGTTCCACTAACTTTTGCGAAATCAACTTTGAGTGCTCGTAGTCAACCATTTTACAGTTTCTCACCATGACTGCATCGGTTTTGAGCTCAATTTTCTTACTGGTAAGTAACTTTTGTTTATGTAGTATAACTAAATCTTTTAGCATTATAACTGAAATAACCTTTACCCGAGTAGCAAGACAACGTGATCTTAGAAAAATCTTTCAATGATGTAAAATCTTTTACTAAACTTTGTAACACTTATCCTCTTGTACATGTTAACAGTATCTAATTGATTCGTTTTCAATGACTTTTCTTTTTCTCCTCTACTCTCAGGTCTTCTGATATTTTTACCTCCCAAGCTCACTGAATTCGAATTATATACAGCAAGAGGTCGTCAAAATTTGGGTTGAAGGTAATCAAATTTAATGAGTTTGCGAACCAACATGATTGGACCTTGGGAACAGGGGTTTAGGGTATTTTATTGGGTAAAAATTGGTTTTCTCATTTTTGGACTAAAAAAAAAACAACTGCCTTCTAAACCATTTTGAAGAGCTTAAAAACATTAAAATAATTTAGTATATTGTATTGCTATCGTATGGTTACTGGTTATTTTAAATAATTGGTTACTTATTTATTTATTTATGGTTATTTATTTATTTATGGTTATTTATTTATTTTGTTATAGAAACAATTAAAAAAATAATTTAACTGTTGCAGTTGGCTTGTAAATGGATATAATTTAATTATTAAATTTTGGCAAATGTATTTATTTTACCTTATACCATCCTTATATATAATTCTGTAAGACAACATTTTTACCAGAAAATTGTGAACGTCTGGTAAGTCGCAGAAAAATGGGAGGGGTCTTAAATTAAAGGTCTTGACCCCAGGGACTCGGAAAAAATAGCATAATTCCCATAAAGTTACTAGAAAACTAGATATAACGTAAAATGTTCTCCATAAGAATAGCATTAGAAGCCATTTACTGCTGATTTTTGTTTACTTCAATACAGCTGATCAGAGGATCGTAAATTTATCATCAAGCAATGTTAACATTGGATTACTACTTATTTGCCAGTCAATTCTGCAAGACTACAATGTACTATATAAAACCAGGCTAAGACTTTTTAGTTACAAATAAATTATTTTACTGTAAAACTTTTCAAATTTGTGTATTTTTTACGTTTAACATGAAATAACCACACTGACTAAATAATAACGATTCAAGATTAAAAATGGAAAACTTTGCTTTGTTTTTATTTCAAAACATATGTTCTTGATTTATCCTACACTTTCTTTATTTTAAATTTGAGATTTATTGTAGTGTTTAATCAATATTTTGTATGAAGTGGAATAACCTCAACGTCCACTCTTAGAAAATAACCTGGGAATGAAGATGGAATAGGTAGGAAATTTATATTTTTTTATTAAGTTAGTACTATGACAAGCTCCAATGGGAGGAAAACAATATTGATTGGAGATTTTAAACAGGTAATGTCTGTTGCTTGCAAAAGAGTTAAGAATCAACTGATTTAGGCCTTATTCGATTGAATATGTAACACTCCAATCGCACCTGTAAGAGGAATACCATCCCATAAACTTACACTAATAATTAATTGTGGTTTTTATGTTGATCAGAAAAAAAAATCTAGGGTTTGGTCAATGGGATCCCTTTACTTTACACTAATGTTGTTAAACCTTAACAAAAGGAATATACACTTAGAAATATTAACTGGGAAGGGATGCTAATTTAGCGGTTTTGGACTAGAACTAAGCTTACCTAAACACACCTTTAATTCCCCTTTCATATTTGACGTGGACAATTTCCAAAATTCCAATCAGGGAAGTCTTTTTTTATCACCATTAACCACAAGACCAAAACTACCTTAAACGGTTAAACCTATGTAGTGATTCGAATGATTTATTGAAAATAACATCAACAAAGGCAAATAAAGATAAACAACAAACTGATTTTACACAAAAGATATGGCTTACAGGGATATCTATTTTGACACATAGATAGATGATACATTTCTCAGTTTGTTTAAATGATAATATTAGAGTCATTTGTTACATATTATTGAGCTTTTTAGGGACTTATGTCCCTACAAGCCACTAGTTATTCTTGTCAAACATGGTCAAAAAAGCACTGTTTACCTTTTAAATGGTAGCAAACCTAAGTACTTGTTTAATATAACTTGTAATTTAAATAAGAGATAATTTTTTTTAGAAATATTTTAGTACAAATCCAGTAAAAAAAATGTATTCCCTTAGTCTGCAGGTTTGCTGTGGCTGATTTGTGTTTATCGTAGCGAGTACGGTTATCTCTTAGAATTAGATTTTGGTTTGTAAGTTATATGCTTGGCTGACATAAATTGCAAACCTTTACGAAAACCCCACTGTATAAGCATATGCTAACGTTTTGTGTTGTTGCAGTTCTTTCCGATTGTTTGCAATGCTGGTCAATGTAAGTATTTCAAATTAACTGTTATTATGATTTAATTAGACCAAATGTAAAACGATAAGCTTTGCTTACTCGTATCCGAATAATATAATGTATGTATATAATATATATAATATAATGAAACGTATGGATGTTTGTGTGTGAAATTCCATCACGTGAAAACTACGGGATCAATTGAGCTGACATTTTGCAGACTTGTACTTGATAGTCTTGAGAAACACATAGGCATATTGTTGTGAAAATCCTGTAGGATACACGCAAGAGCGTTCGTTTTCAGAGTGAGTTTGTTTTCAGTTTCGACAACTGGAGTGGATTGATTGATTAGGCTACATTATCTTTGAGTTAACTCTTTTAAGTCATTGGAAATTATGACTATTATTAGTTTGAAATAACGCCTGTATTACTTAGCAATTGCTTGATTTCGAGCAACAGGAGCACTAGTTTAATAAATAATTTGTGATATTGTGTGAATGTTTGATCATTTACTTTTTTCCAAATGTTAAGAAGCAGTGGTAGAATAATATGGCTATGGTAGATGCGTTATACTATTGCATACCGTACGTTTGAAGTATCAAATTTTATCAAACCATGTCCTTCCCCATTGCAAACGCAGATCACTTGTATAGCTGCAATAAGCATTTTATACATATGCGCCAACCCCGTACGGAGGACGAGTACTCTGCTATTTCAGACATAAACGTTGTAATTAATACAAATACGTATTTACTAATATTATAAACATAAAACGTGTTTCCTGCAATTAATTACAATTTATAACAATATTTTTGGGTATTTTATATACCAAATTTTGTTAAATGCTAGTTTAACTGGATATAAAAATACATCCCTCCAACATATGAAACAGATTAAGAAGAATAGCAAAACCTTCCTCAAACACACATGCATGCACACATAAAAAAATATATTTATGAAAGAATAACAAATGTATAAAATTTTGTTATATAATCTTTATCTTTGTACAACTAAATCTAGAGTTCTACTGGACCGATTTTATTAATTAATGGGTCGTTGGAAAGCTTAATACGTGTAGATTTGCAAATAATTATGACAAATTGTTTTTGTTATAATTAATGGTGATTTATGGTTAAAGAAAAACATGTTTTCCATAAGAAATACATTAAAAAGGGTGTTTGTCGCACTTTTTATTTGTGTGCGACTTTTGGCTGCTTTTTTTAGTATTTCCAAGAAGTGCATGGTGTCAATTTGTAGGAGATTTTATACTCTTTCAGAATATCATTTTCCACTTTGGTTGATTTCCTCACCATTTAAAAGTTATTTGCAAAACAGCTAAGCAACCTCCGAAAATTTAGTAATGAGAAAATACTTAGTTAGGGATATTTTTGTTAAACTTTGTACAACTAAATCTAGACTTCTACTGGACTGATTTTGTTAAATAATAAGTCATTGGAAAGCCCAATTTATGTAGATTTGCAAATTATTATAAAAGTGTGATTTTAGTAAATATTTGTGGGGAAAAAGTAAAAATAACAAAAATACATAAAAAACTGCTTTTTTCAAGTTTCTGTTTGCAAGTTTCTATTTGTAGCCAGATTTTGGCTGTCTTTATTAAGTATTTTCAAGAAATGCATAACAGTTGTTTGTAGTAAATTGTATTCTCTTTCAGAATATTACATTCACTTTGGTCGATTTCTCCTCCATTTAAAAGTTATTGGCAATAAGCTAAGTAATCTCCAAATTTGTAATGGTGAGAAAATACTGAATTAGATATATTTTTGTTAAACTTTGTACAACTAAATCTAGACTTCTACAGGACCGATTTTATTAATTAATGGGTCGTTGGAAAGCCTAATTTGTGTAGATTTGCAAATAGTTATGCAAATAATAATATAATATGCAATAATAATAATATAATAGTAATATGCAAATAGTTACGAAAGTTTGATTTTATTACATATTTGAGGTGAAAAAAGATAAAAAACAATAATACATTTAAAATGCCTTTTTCCCCCAAGTTTATATATCCAAGTTTATATTTGTAGTCAACTTTAGGCTGCCTTTATGGAGTATTTTCAAGAAATGCATAATAGTAATTTGTAGGAAATTTTATTCTCTATCAGAATATCACCTTCCACTTTGGTCGATTTCCTCACCGTTTCAAAGTTATTTGCAAAAATGTTAAGCAACCTCCCAATTTATAGTGGTGAAAAAATACTGAATTAACGATGTTGTTGTTAAACTTTGTACAATTATACAGTTCTACTTAACCAATTTTATTAATCAATAGGTCATTGTAAAGCCTAATTTATATAGATTTGCAAATAATTATGAAGGTATGATTTTGTAAGATTTACTAGGTTAAACCCATCAAAGTAGACAGTTACTGTTGAGGTTTTAAGCAATATCGTTTGACTATAAATCTATGATAAATTACTAATTTTTTTTTAACAATTACGGTTGTTCGTGATTTAGCAGCACGCTTTAGGTACGTCCAATCTTAATAATCAATCATTCAAATGGAAGCTGGTATTTCACTGAAGGTTCTTAGGTCAAAACAAATAGGATAACTGACTGTAATTAGAAATGAGTAAATATATCTAAAACTAAATTCCATATCCAAGATATAAATAAATTTGTGTTTTCTGATTGAGCGATACAGTATCTTGAACTTAAATGATTAAAACTATCAATATCTCAAATGAAAGCCTTTATTTCTAGAAGTATTTTTAGACCAAGACATATTAAATAAGTTAAATAAAAATAGAGGTACCTATCATTTATTGCAGATAAGTTCTAAAACGATTATAATTATTGTTGATTCGTGATTCAGCAGTGTGTTTTAGCATAGATTAAAAGAAGTACTCCTTTTAACTATGGTTTTAGGTAGTCCGATCTAAATAATTAATAGCTCAAATGAAAGCTGGTATTTACTAAATGTTTTAGACCACAAAATATAGGGTAATGTAATTAGAACTGCTAGAATACATCTTTAATTGAAGTAAAAATTCCAAAAAAATCTAATTTATATTTTTTGTCGAGTAATACGTTAGATGAATGAATGATGATGCTTGATGACAAATATGTGCTTCCATAGCTTTTTTTAAGACCAATATTATGAAAATTGGTCCGGTAGAAGAGCTAACCTGACTCGGAAAGAAAAACCAATAAATTATAGATGGCAATAATTATTAGATCACCAGTATGCATAATCTAATCATATGAAACATGTGTTAATAATTTAACAGCTTATTGTTATATTGTTATTGAATTGATTTTTCTTTGATTAAATGTTGTTGTTAACCATTTTCATTTGGTTTTAAAGTGTGTTCCTTATGTTAAGAGTGTGATTCCAATTCGTTATGTGCTTAATCTGTACCATTAATATTAGTGAGTAAAGTGGTGTATGGATTTCATAACCATTATTTTACTAGAGACCGTTGTATTTAACCACAACGGGCTCTGTTACTAGTTGTACATATAACATTTGAAATGCATGTAAGTTTTTATTTGAACCTAAATAAAATAAATTACAATTTGATTTTCAATAGCATCGTAACTTATTCTTTCAGTATTAGCATATTGATATTCATATTTTTTTCAGATGCAGTTTTGATAGAAAACATGGACAAAATCCAAGCAGGAAGCCCAAAAGAGCTGTACCAATATGAAATCAGATCCAACAAAATATTGTGTGCGGTGTATGAAGCCCCTTTTGTGCTCGATCCCGGTCTAATGGCACTAGTTCAATTCAACAGTATTGCGTTTGTTCATGACCTACTTGCAAAGAAATTATTGAGAGCTTTTGCAAACAATAACTGCGATGACTTTGCTACTAATCTGTATGCAAATGGCCACTTATTAGAGTTCCGACACTCTTCCGGAAGTGTGGCAACAATAACCTACGTTTCAAATTATCCGAGTCAAGGGGGACAGTCCTTTAGGGCATCAACATGGAAAAAATTTAGGTATGCATTACACGCATTCATCATGAATAGTTTTTCTTTAAATTTGACAATCTAAACACTCCTCTAATTGTTCACCTAGTCTTCTTACACCCCAGTAGTCACAAGTGTAAGTACACACTATCAAGAGCTAATTCCAAACATATTTTAACTCTCCCATCTAAGTGAAGGCGTATGACCACTATAGGTGTATAGTATGGTTTACATATGTTGTAACAGGTAAAAAAAAATTAATTGAAATATTATATTTCATTGCTAGGGCCGAAAGTGGCATTTTTCGTCATGCGCTCAAGTTTTTCGGTCAAGTTTTTCAAGTTCGGCTTCGCCTCACACAGGGAACCCCAATTTCACGTGCGAGGTGAAGCCAAGTATTTGAGAGCTATTTTCACGTACGAGGCGAAGCCGATGACGGGAATATTGGAGCAAGTGCCGGATAACAACTTTCGGTAGGAGTTATGAACTATACTTTTCATCACGACGCAAAAATACACAAACACAAATTAGCATACCTCAGTAATACTACAACTAGTTTATTTCTCAATTAATTTGATTTGACATTAAAATAAAATAAAATCTTCTAAAAGGAAACCTACGTATATCTCTCAATAAATTTTGTTCAGACATGAAAATTAAAGAATAAAACAACTTTTAACAATACATACAGCTGATTCAAGTCATTAAATTAAACCGTAACAAAACACTAGCGCGCGTAGAGAATAAATGGACAACTAATTGAGAGCGAGGGAAAGTAAATTTAGAGCGAGTGGAAATCAGCTGATCGATTTTCCTTGGCCCTAAATTAGAGCTTGGGAAACGAATAATTTCATTGATGTCAGCTGTTATCGAAAATAGTTACTTTCGTTACGGAGTGATGAAAATAAATTTCTTAACATAAAATACATTACACATTGCCTTACGCCAAACATTTATTTTTTAAGTTCACACACAATCTAAAAGAGTGCATTGATATTATTCGTAAAACTGCTGAACTAAAATTTGTATTAATCAATGTTATAGTGACTTAAGTTATATTTACAACTAGATAAGGAAGGACAAATAAAAAGATGCCAGTGAATCGTCTTCGCGTGCTTAGCTGAAGGAACGTACCAAGACACATAACTCATTGTATAAAGATTTGCCACAACTTTCTGTACCAAATGTAGACGTTTGTATAAAACCAATTCGAACCCAATATTGTAAACTGTTCTAGGACTAAGATATTAGGCTACTAAGTAATTTATTATGTTGAAATTTAACCCTTTAAAAAAATGTTTTTTTTCTGAGATATATTTTTGCACCTGAGGTTTCTGTGTCACTGGTTTAAGCATTTTAATGTAAGAAAATATGCCTAATCATTTTTGTCTTTTTATTCAAACTTGTTGAAAGAACCTAATAACCGAGACATTTTTTTTATTTCACTTGTTGTACTATAATATAATGGGTAAACAGGTTGGACAATTTGTATTACAATGAGATGGACCCTTGAAATATTTGTAAATAATTTTGAATCATAACATGTAATTATGTTACGAAAATTATTGTTCAGCAAGGGCTTATAAAACAATTAGGTTCCAGGGCTCACTTAATCAAGCAATACAAAACTTCAGAATTTTACACTTTATTCAAATAAGTTTGGTATTAAAATAAAAATGTAAAGGGTTAACAGGCCGTTTAAATAAGTTTTGTATACATTTCAGTTTTGTGAATATATATTTGTTGTGGTACTAACTACAAGTATCTGTGTACTAACTTAACGGTTTTTGATTCTTGATTTTCACGGGTTAACTAAAATTATAATTATTTGTTATTTATCAATTAAACATACTCAGTCTCTTCATCCGCACACGTCTATGGTCAAATACATATTACATGTACGATACAACAATAATACCTATTCCTATAAGTATATAAGTCCTAGCTTCATTTCGAATGTGTGCTCTGTCAAAATAATATTATTGTTTTTTTTTTATTATTATTGATTTTTACCCACAAGAGAGAGATAAAGATTTGTGTGGGCCCTACCTATTAATAGAGACGGTTTAATTTAAAATTAAATTATTAAATCCTTGTGCTAAGAGGATTGAGGAATTGAAGAATTACTATAACCACTTTGATTGGCAAAAAAGTGAAAAATTACGTACGATCTAACGTATAACTTTATTTGTTTTAGTTGTGCATTGACAAGCGGGGATCCATCTAAGATCGATACAATTTGCAAGAACCCTCGAGAAGAGACGTTTCCACCACCAAAATCTGCCAACTCTCGGGTCACCGTAAAGCGTCCTGCGGGAACATCTCAGCCCCCTCCGAATACCAGTGCTTCTGGAAGAAGCACAAAACGCTATAAGTCCACAGATCAGCAACCAGGAAGCTCAACATCGTGGAGGTACTAGAAAACACGAGTAAATCTTAAACCGTGGGGTAATGGGTAACCATGCATTAATTTAACAAGTGCAGTTAATTTGTGTCATGTATTCTAAATGATGAAATAAATGTAAAGATGTAAAATTATACACAGCGTTTGTATTTCCTGACTTATGAATAGAGACCTCTCACGTGATTGAGACTATAATTGCTTATTATAAATATTATTTTGCTTATATTGTATAATGTGCAGTATATTTAAAAGCGTTTTAAATTAACTAGAGTGAGATATAAATATGTCGCAGAATTAACCCATTTAAGGTGATTGAATAAAGCACGGCAAAACTGTAATACGGTTCTCATAAAAATGATACGTGAATAAATGGTTCGACTATTCATCGTTATATGTTATCATGTTGATTTCTTTTGATTGAACAACGGAATATGAGTTATAGAAATGATATGATCATCTTGTCCATGGAAGTAATGGAAATAAAACTAAAATATTTAATACTGTGTCATCCTTGGATAATTATAATTTGTTGGACGAAAGGGGAGACCTACAAACAAGACTATTATAATGGAATTGAATGGGATAACACTTAGCTGTATGTTACATGAGCTAATTAAGATTTTAGTACTATGTTAAACATTCCTAAAAGCTCAACATTTAATAGTACAAAAATAATAGCTCAAATTCGAAGTGAAATGTAAGTGATAACATTTAATAACGTTGAAATACCTAAAAACTTCATAGTCTTGGTATTAAGTTTGTTTGGACCAGTTTAGCTAATGATAATGACAAACCTAATAGCATTTACAACATTTTATGTTTTTCTACACTCGTTTTTTATAAATTCTACCGTATTTATTTATTAGCCTATCATAAAATAAGGTAAGCCAAACGGTACTAAATAAAGCTAAACCTAACCACCGCAGAACGTGTACGAGATTTTTCTTAAATAGATCTTACGCCTTAAAGGTCCATATTCAATACAGGTCTATACAATCAATATTATATGGCGTTAAAACGATATTCAATAAGATATAGGCCTAAATATAGAAATGATTAATCATATACTAGTTAGGTAGGTTCTCTGTGGAACTACACCCAGCCTAATCTGTTATAATTTGTCATATAGAACGGATATTGTGACCTTTGATACATCCACAAACATAGGCATGTTGCAACAACAGGATCATAGGTCATTAAGAAACCAAACTGTTATCAAGTTGACTTATAAATTGATTTAACGTTTTGTCTATCCGTCAAAAGGTTAGGCCTACAGATAAAATAACCAATATAGGTCTAGTTATAAAGTGTTAAGGTTAATACTACACATTTGATGAAGGTTTGGTGTACTATGGTGGACAATCCTCTATGAGGCGGAGTTTTACCATTGACAATACACGATATAGATGGGAAACTTAATGACAAAGATTGTGAGATAATTTTACTTAAGTCCAGCCACGAACATCAGGTTCCCCGTAGTCTTATTCTATCAACGTCACGTTGAGACGCAACAGTTTTCTTTTTCTCCATAAGATTGACATGGGAATTAGGAGGTAGATTTTTGTCTTTTTAATTTTCTCCGTTACCTTTAATTGTATAACAACACTTCAATGTACAAAATAATTAGACTTTTTAGGCTCTACAGGGTGAGTTTCTACTAAGTGCGTTAATTTTGACCAGTTATTCTACTCACTAAAAGGAACAAAAAATGACAAACAACAATTTTCCATCCCCACCCGTTATGCTGTAATGGCCGATTATGTGAATTTTTAAAATTACCTGTAGTAGCTTTACTAAATCAAGCATAGATATTAAGCCAATACACGTACAGCATAATAACTTATACCAATAAAAAGAACGTTAAATTTCCTACAAAACCATTGCAACAGCTTTAACATACAACCATATTTTCACCGTTGTATGTCTCACATAACATAGAAAAAGAAGTTTCAAAATTAATTCTTTACAACTTCAAAGTGGTTTTACAACTATACATACTAATGTGATGTTTTGTCAAATTACATAAAAAACTTTCCGATTACATGCCCTTTAAAATGATGTAACCCATAAGGTTATTGCTGTATTGAAAGTTCGAAAAATTAGGTCAAAACCGCGTCAAGGTCAGAGTTTTCGGAATCATAAAATTGAACCAAATCTAATACAGTATATGTTAATTTCTTTGCTATCTTATAATCAGCTGACATCTGATCAGCTGGGTGTTAAACTTTGTTTACAAAACCAGCTGATTTCAATTGTTGACTTGTAAACATTCAAATTATTAACTATTTCATGAACATACTTGGAAAATATTATAATTTTGTTTAGGGCTATGTCGGTGTTCACCAACAAAGTGTCTTGATATGATTTTATTTTCCGGGTTCTGTTCTCAAATGCGGCTGTAATCTGACGTGAATACAGTCGTCAGTTTCCTAATAGTTGACTTTCAAATGAACGAATATTCATCAGTGTCCATACAAGTGTCCATGGGCACTAAACATCATTCTGTTGGGAACGTGATACAAGATGTGTATAGTGTATGTGTTTAAGAAGCTGTGTCACATGTGTTGGGGTGGTTTGAGGACATTTTGAAAACTTACTTTGATTAAAAATCCAGAAACCAGACTCTACAGGATTCATTTTGTTTATTTGTACAAATACATTAACCTAGATTTTTATTAAATTTATTTTTAATAATTGTCATAGATTTATAAAATAATGAAATTGTTAATAATTCAAATGTTTACAAGCCAACAATTGAAAATTAGCTGGTTTTGTAAACAAAGTTTAACACTCAGCTGATCAGATGTCAGCTGATTATAAGATAGCAAAGAAATTAACAGATACTGTATTACATTTGGTTCAATGTTTTGATTCCGAAAACTCTGACCTTGACGCGGTTTTGACCTAATTGTCGAACTTTTAATACAGCAATTACCTTATAGGTTACATCATTTTAAAGGGCATGAAATCCGAAAGTTTTTTACGTAATTTGACAAAACATCACATTAGTATGTATAGTTATAAAACCAATTTGAAGTTGTAAAGAATTAATTTTGAAACTTCTTTTTTATGCTATGTGAGACATACAACGGTGAAAATATGGTTGTATGTATTATGCTGTACGTGGATTGGCTTAATTTATATGCTCGTTTTAGTAAAGCTACTACAGGTAATTTTAAAAATTCACATAATCGGCCATTACAGCATAACGGGTGGGGATGGAATATTCTTGTTTGTCATTTTTTTTGTTCCTTTTAGTGAGTAGAATAACTGGTAAAAATTAACGCACTTAGTAGAAACTCACCCTGTATACGATGGATGTTTTAGGTTCAATAATTCTTACATACCACAATAATAGCATAATAAAACCCCCAATGAATGTGCAATAATGCACGTCACAGGTCAGTCACATCAGTCACGTCACAGCAAAACTATACTTTATCGCTATCTACATTTATCTGGTGGAGTTACGTCATTCGCTCTTCTAAAGTTCTTTAGACATATTCAGATTTATTCTCACCAACATTTTATTCATTTGAGGTTAACTAGTTTTTTTTTGTTATTTTTATTATTGTGCGCACAGATTGTAATAATATTAACAAGATGGAAGATGAAAATTTGATAGCAAATTTTGTTAAAATAAAAAAAAATGTTTGACTGTAACATCACTTTAATAAAGTGAATGAAGACTGACTGAAACCAACTGAACGGTAAAAGACTGAGGAATTGCGGATGTAACTGAGCCTGAACTGAGGCTGAACTGTGACTGGACTGATGTGTGTAAACCATCCTTTAAGTCGAAAAAATTTACAAAACCAATTTTTGAACACTTTAGAACTCTATAATACCCCGTTTCCATTATCCAAACTTGGTGATTCGCGAACTCTTTAAATTTTATCCCACCATACACCTACATATCAGTTAAGTGTTTACCATTTCAAATGAAGATTCTCTGTCAATTGCTTTCTGTGTTATATCTCCATATAATTACAGAAATCCAACTAGTTATTTAAGGGATACTTTTAATGTATATTTGAATGGTTGCAGTAACCTAAGGGAAGCGAGTTATCCAGTGTTTGAGTGTAGGGCTTCTGTTTTCAATTTTACGGGTTCAAATGACCAATGGATTTTATCCTAAGTTATAATGCCGCAACCTCCTTTAGACCTAGCCTGAAAAATCTAACAAAGTAAAAAGTAAACAAAACCAAACGCACTAACTAACTTGACACACATTGAATGTTAAACATAGTTAACCATATCCCGTTTAAAACGGACTTTTGTCATCCAGTACAGTACAGTACATTTCTTCAAAACTAGATTCTTTCATCTCAATTCCAAGGGAACATAATGTCACTTATGTTAGCAGCTGCCAGCTATGACGCACGTATAAACTACCTCCAGCTGGGGACGATTATTTCAAGGTCTTTAACAAGCGCACTAGTACAACCTGTATGTTTTAAACATAATATTTTAGTGAGCGAAATTTGTGTTTTGTAAGCAATGATTTGTAATTGTAATGCATACAATATTTTTCCTAACATGAACAACTTAACGTAAAAAACAGATTAACTTTTTAGTTGTATATGAAATGTCATTAAGGTCATGTTTTCGTTGGCTTTTTTAAGATAGGCGGCTGTGGTAGGTGTTGAAACGACTACTGTGAAATAAGCTAAATAGCGATTGGGAATTATCCATTTCCGGTGTAGAGCGTTAATGTGATATTTTGCGTACTGTGTAGGGAGATTGGGGTAATGACAGCCACGGGATGGTGAAAGTCACATCATTTTTTTTTTAGAATGTAAATAATGTAGCTTGATGACGTGGATTAGTTTTGAAGTGCTTCTGTCTTGTGGCTTTATAAAGAGATAGTCCCTCGTTTCTTTTCAACATCTTGTTACAGACTTGCATGTTACAGATGCATGAGTGATTTCAGACTACTGTTTCTCTTGTAAAATTTTATCTGCTTCATACTCAGTTTGTTGATCAGAGGTATGAGCCATCATACAATTCTGTAGTTGTACGCTTCAGGTTATGCTTCGAGTTAATGTTAAAGAAAACCATGTGTTTTAGTTATTGAGAGACAACAGATTTGGGGTGATGGGGGTCACTGAACTACATGACAACCATCACCTTAAA